AGGGGGCGGCTGCCTGTGGGAACGCGGATTCTTCCAGGGAAGCGGAGCGGGACTGCCGCGTTCCCCTCGATTTGCACCGTCACTCGAGTTGTTTGGGAAGAAAAGGGGAGGCGCTGTGTATGCCACCGGGTACCTGGACCTGAGTGCCCAGTGTGTATGCATGCCTGTGGCGCTGCGTGAGTTATCGGGGCTCTGATAGCGTCTGGAGCGGGTTCGAGGGTCTCCTCCAGAAACTCGCAGAAATTATGAGGGGGTGGGTAGGTGAGGAGGACACACCCCCTTCCTCGGAACGACTTGGAAGACTTTGAATCTCCCCTCCTCCGCTTTTCCGCCCCGGCTCTTCTTTTGTTGTCAAGTCCTTTTGATAAATGGTGGGGCTGGGAGCTCTGGGAGTCGGTAGCCAGTCTGTGCCCGCGCGGGGGGCGGGGGCCGAGCCTGGAGACCCGGTTTCGACCGGCGCGCACCCGGGGCTGAGCTGGGTACGCGCGGGGTCGGGGCTAGAACCTGCCCTCGGCGTGCTCGCCCTCTCCTCTTGGCCCATCTCACTCCCCTTCCCCACCTCACTCCCCTCCCCCAATTCTTTCTCTGTCTCCCACTCCGCAAGGGTTCCGAGAACTTTCTGGGGTGAGTTTTAGAATTTGCTCCTAGGCATTCTTTTTCTGCGTTTGGATTTTATCCCTTGATTCTTTGGGTTGGTAAACTTCATGAGATGGTAACTTGACTGAAGCTCATTTGGAGAGAAGAGGGGAATGAGGCGGTGTGTGTTTGGGGCTGGTGTTAATGTGAGTGTGTAAGAGCACACCTGCATTCAAGGGGGTTTGTAGTGTCCGTGCGACATCTGAGGAAGGTCAGTCGGCGAGCAAGTGGCGAGGCCCCACGCTGTACAGGTGGTCTGGTCTCCGGGGAGCGAGTCCCAGGTGCGCGTTTCGGAGGGCGGGACAGTCCTACGCTGTCTCTGCGGGGCAGCGCGTCTGTGAAGCCGCTCTTACCCTTCGGGTGTGCCCATGTGTGCCTGGTCACTGAGTGCGCGGCCGTCTAGGTGTCGACCCAACCAATGGTAGTGCTCCCAACGCCGCGAGCCCAGCTTTGGGCCGCTATAGCCGCGGCCTCCCCGCGAGGCCCGGGCACTGAAATTCTGGGGGCTGCGGCAGGGCTGGGGGTGACACAGCCAAGGGCGTCCCTCCCCAGCCTCCAGACTCAGCTCTTCCCCCTCTCCTCTAATTCCAGCATCTTATTACGCCGGCGGCTCAGGGGAGGCAGCCTCAGCACCTGAAGCCGGGGGGTGGGGGTTGGGGGGGTGGTGGTGGGGGGCGGGGAGTGGCTCCCGCGTTCCCCGATGTGGCCGCACACGCTCGTAGGGCTGCGGTGTGCTGCGTGGGTGCGGGTGGTGGTCAGCGTGCGTTCGCTTTTCTCAAAACTCCACTCCGAGGGTCCGAGCGCTTGGGGGCGCCTGGGGGCCTGCACGCCCGGGGCTTTTGGGAGGCGCCAGCGTCCGAGCCTGCGCACCTCGCGCAGGAGGCCAAACCCCCGAAGGCCGCGCGGGTCCGGGGGTGGGGACCATTAATTACTCTGCGCCAGGCCTGAAGCCTCCAACCCCCAGCAGCGGTTGGCTTGGATGTCCTGCGGATTTTATTTGCACACAATGGAAATGATTTGTTTTCTCTAAAAAAGGAGTGGGCAAGGCAGACATTGGAGGAGGGGGTGGGAGGAGGAGAAGGAAGGGGAGAGAGCTGAGGAAAAAAGTTTGAAAATGCCTTGAACTATTCACTGTCGAGATGGCTAATCAGTATTGAGGCCGGAGGGCAGGCGGGCCGCCTTTCACCGCCGCTTCCCTTTCTTCTCGGGCTCGGCGGAGGCGCTCAATTAAAAGCCTATCAGTTTGTAAGTAAATCAACGCCTATCAGAGTTGTCACATCAAACAAAACGATTATTATTGCAGCCCGCCTCCCCTATTAATCTCCCTCGAAGATAATCCGCCTGACAGGTCAGGCCCGGCGAGCTGGAAAGCCTGGTCCAGAGCACCCAAACAGTCCCGGACTGGCGCGCGCCCCCGGGGGCCTCCCCACCCCTGTCCTGCCCCGCCTCCCGGTCCCAGGGAGCAGGGAGAGAAAGCGCGCGCGGAGGCCTTTGCACCCAGGTCCGCCCCACCGGACTGGGAGCAAGGCCCAGATTCGCGGGGCCAGTAGGGGACAGTCCCGTGCGGCCCTCGCCGCTGCTCGGGGCAGGGGAGAAGCCTGGCGTGCAGAAGCCGCGGCCCGGCCTTGTCCCGGGGTCTCGCCACGGCCTGCGCTCTCCTCGGCGCGCCTCTCCTGCCTGTCATTTCTTTTTTCTGTCTCCCTTCTCCTTTTTGTTTCCTCTCCCGCGTCTTTCTGGGCTCCCCCATCTCTTTCCTTCATTTCCTTTTCCCTTTTCTTACTTGCCAGAGAGTATTTCCCATTCTGGCTCCCTCTTCTCGGTGTGCGGCATAAACCCTTCGTGCGCAGTCACACTGCCTGGAGTAGGACGTTCTCAGGCACCGCGGTATTTCTCCCGCGGTATTTCTCCCGCGGCAGGGTTGCCCCAGGAGTGTGCAGTTCCTAGAAACTCATGGCAAAGTCCTCTCTAATCTCTTTCCGAGCAGGGGCTCTGAGAAGCTCTGCTCCTGTTTAAGGGTTGGGTGGTTTTGGAGGGGTGAAGAGGAAAAAAAGAGGGAGAGAGACTGGTGGACAATTGCCCTATTCTGGAATTAGTATTTGGCCTTGGAATTTCACAGCCGCAGCGTTGCCGACCTCGCTGTTGGCGTTGCCCGGGCTTTTCAAATACGTAGATAAGACTCACGGGGGCATCCGGGCCTCAGTAGTGACTGTGTGTGTGCCTGATAGAAGTAAATACACCCAGATAACTGCCTCTGTGGCCTCAAGTTAGTGCCCCAAGAGTATGGGTGGGGCCTGACTTCTAGAAGGCGCAAAAATCGTGGCCTTCTTCCCGGTGGCCTCCGCTTCCTGCTTTGGGATGCCTCGGAATCGAGCCGGACCTGCCCTTTTCTGCGCTCTTCCTCCACATCTATAGACCCAAACAGCCACTGCCAGAGCCAGGTGGAGCCAGGATTGAGGGGTAGCTGAACTGTCTGCGAGGAAAGGGCTGCCCGGTGCAGCTCAGGCCTGCCACCTGATATGTCGGTTCAGTGCTCCGCGAAGGCTCTTCGCGCCTGTAGCCTGTATCTCGGAGGACCCCCAGGGCGCTGCAGTATTGGGCGTCAGGGCCGAGCCTCTCGCAGCAGTCACGCGGGGAGGCCACGGACATCCAATAGAGCCCACTTCAACTTGCATGGTGCATGGGGTCCAGGACCGGTGGCCCCCACACAGGGTTTCCGAAATCCTCTCCATTTGTCTGCACTCTCCACTGCCGACCTTGTAGGAAATTTATTTCCATGCCCAGAAATATTGTTTGGACACAGTGGCTCGGTTATCTTCGCGCCTGCTTTTCTTAAATATATTTATTTCACCTCTGCCACGCTGCAGATATTTAAAGATCTGTAGATACCGTAACCCTCAGCGATGCGGGACTCACACTGGTTATAGATAATATTCTCTGGGTGGTTATTTGGACATAAGTTCTATCTCCAGCCCTGATGACACCCAAGCAGGGGCTGTAAAAGGACACTTGTTCTGTAATTTTTTCAAGTGAAATATATGTCCACACACGGAGAATTTAAGAGTATTTTTATATTTCTCTCTATATCTAAATATTCAGATGTGTTAATTACATGCCCTGGAAGCTGGAAGCGATCAGTGGTGTTCACAGTGGACGTGGAGCTGTTTGTATAACTTTCATCTCCCTGCACTTACACATGAATCTCAGTCTAATAAATTCAACCTTGTCATTTTTAGAATCGACGGGATTTCTCTGGCTGTCGTTTGCACTGCATTTATCCGAATAAATCCAGCTCGCAGACATCCTGCAGGAAACGGCTCCCGGCTCGCGTGTACGCCGACACCTCGGCCCAACGCGGGACTCGAGGTGGCTCCTAGTGCCTGGGCGGCTGCTAGTCCGGCCTCCGAGGGAGGCTGGACAAGCGGCGCCCCCAGGTCGAGCGGCCTCTCACTGCCTGGCAGCCCCCAGCTCTGACGGTGCTTCGGAAACCCGCCTGGCCAGGTTCGCCCGCAGTGAAAAATGAAAGCAAATTCCCCTACAGAGGTAGCCCGAACTTTCCTTGACGAAGGCTCTCTCTTGAGCCTGGATCTCGAAGAAACTCCAGAGCGCTGCAAGTTAGCAACAGAGATTCGATGGCGGCTCCGGAGGGCGCGCGAAGGGTGGGGCGAGGGGGCAAAAAGGACACTGGGTGACCCAGCCTGGCCCAGGGCGAAACGCAAGAGAAGGCGCCTCGCCTTCCTTATTTCAATGCAACTCCTCGGCCCTAGACGGTAAAAATAGTTTCCAAGCTGCCGCGGACGCCCAGGATGTGTTTGCAGAGATCAAACTGGGGAGGAAGCGGCTTTGTAAAAGTTGCAGAAAGATTAGCCCAGAAGCGTCCGCCCGGCGGGGCTCAAGAAAGCTTGGGGACAGCTTCACGTTCCTTGGGGCGGAATGGCCCAAGAATTGGCCTGGGTAACCCCCGGCCCAGTTCTCCGTGCTCACTTCGAGCCAGCGTTTAAATAACTTCCCGCCGCCTGCCCTGCAAACTTCCAGGCGCGGCGCCGGCGAGGCCAGGACACAGCAAAGGCTAGCAAAACCCCGCCACGGCGCGCTCGGCCCCAGCCCTGAGAGGCTGCACGGGGTGGGAGAACCAGTGTGGTTTCCGCTCCCACTCGGCTGCCCAGACCCTCAAGACCGATTCCCCCAACTCCTGGGAGCGGGTGCTTCCCTCTGGGAGTCGAGATCTTGCGGGGCCGGCGAGGGCGCAAAGTGCGCTCGCTAGCCCGCGCGGGGGCGGCCGCGCGTCTCTCCGCGGGGCCTGTCGCCAGGCCGGCCGCGGCGGGTGAGTGATGAGGGCAGAGAAGGGCGCCCATAAATCGCGGGTGTCAGGGCGAAAAACTCTCTTTATTGTCTGCGTGATGGATGGGCCCGGGGACGAGACACCAAATACTTCGTATCGCCTTTAAATGGGAACACATTTTCCGCGGCCATAATTCATGTTTTTTAAATAGAAAGTTTGAAATGTTGCCTATATTTCACCAGCCCTGACATATTTATGAATCGCTCCCTGCATGCAAATATCATTATTTAAAGCGCCGGGGAGAGCGCGGGGGAGGGGAGGAGGCGCGGTTCCTGGGGCGTGGGGGTGGTGAACCCGGGAAATGTCGGTGGAGGGGGGGCCATTTCCCTAAAGGGCAGAGGGTGAGGTGCGGGGAATAGCCGTATCCGGAAACCGAGCGTGCCCCGGGCTTCTCTCCTGCCGCCGGACCCCGCACGGCCGACCCGGGACGTTTTTCGAGGCTTGGGACCTAAGACAGGCCCCCGGCCTCTGCTGGGAGACCAGGGGGCGTTTTTCGTCCCTCTCTGAGGCCGTCATCCAAGCCGAAACCACCTTTTCTAAGAAACAAGTTTAAAAAAAAAAAAAAACCAAAAAGAATTTAACAAGCACAAATAATAATAACCCAACATATTTCGTGTTATTTGCCACTGCATCGATTTTATTGATTTTCATTCTCCAAACCTGGGAATGTGCGCACCCGGGAGGGGAGACTGTCAAAACCCAGTCACCTCGGGGACTGGGTGGGGGACAATTCTCCAACGCCGCGGCCTGGACCCGCCCCCACCCAACCGGCGCACTACCTCCCAGGCACCACGGAGCCTGCGCAAGCTGCGGGGCCTTAGCGCAACCGGCCCGCAAGCTCCCGGGGCTTCAGTCCCGCCCCTCTGTCTCCCCAGCGCCCTGCAGCGCTCCTAGGGTCCTTGTCTGCCCTCCCCAAGCCCCCACTGTCAATACAATCGCTGTAAAAAAAAAAAAATTAATCTTTTTAAAGCCAGGCACTTGCCGTCGGCCTCTTCCCTGCCCGCCTGACCCAGGAGGCGCCCACACCTGCGCCCTCACTTGCCGAGACTTTACCTGTGCAGTCCCCCGCGGCGCCTGCAGCCGCGCAGGTAGCCGAGAAATGGAAGGGAGGGCTGGGGAGTGGGAGGGACAGAGAGCACCGTCCGACACAGCCAGACGCGCGGACCCGGGACCTCCTCTCTGGACCGGTGCTGGGGCCCCGGCCGAACCAGCTCCAGGCGCCGAATTGCGCCAGGAAGAGTGGGCCGGGGGAGGGGCGAGGGGAACGGGCCTCGGGAGGGAGGGGCGGGCCCGGCGGCACTTCCGCTGGGGGTGGGGCTGAGGGCTGACGCGCCGATCCCGCCCATCAGCCGCGCGGGCCCGCCCGCTCCAGGCCAGGCTCCGCCCCCACAGCCCCGGAGCGGGATCTCAGGTCACGGTCCCCCCAAGCGCCCCCGCCCCCGGAGGCCTCGGGCTGAACCGGGTTTCGTGGGAGGGCAGAGGGCGGCTCCCTTTTCCTCACCTGGGGGTACTCTCTTTTTAAGTCACAGGAACAGAAGCATCTGCGGACTAGGATCCCAGGCCCAAACTTGCACGTGAGATTTGTTGAAACTTAGGTCATTTGGTACTCCTGGCCCAGGGGTCCTCACGCTCTCTCTGCGGATGTGAGCAGCCATCCTCTCGGACAGTCGGGAATATAGTCCGTGATCACAGGGCCCCACCTATCTTTCAGGAAGAACAAAAACAAAAACTAACACTTTTTGATTGTTCATTTTGTGCCAGGTGCCATTTAGAAAATTTCGTATGAATTATGTCCTCGCCCACAGCAACTCTCTGAGGTAGGTACCATGAATGCCCCATTTCATAGATAAAGAAATTGAGGCCCAGAGAGAATAAATCGGCCTTGCCTCACCCACATCCCATCCTTATCCTTATTCCTTCTTTTCTTCAGATCTGGAGCATCCCAACTCCTTACCCTGGGGGAGTATTGGAGGGAGGGGGACTTTTACTTTTCTGATGGGGGAGTACCAGCCTGTTAACCACAACCATTTGCAGCTGAGGCCAGTGCAGAGCAGGAGGGGGATCTCCACAGAGGAGAACGGTATAAATGGCATGGGGTCATCTCAGCCCCTGGCCAGCTCCCAGCCTAATGGGAAAAACGGACCATTGAGCATCCTGTAGTCCCAGCCCAAGCCAGCGTGCCTTCTTTGAAAAGCAAATCCAACCATATTTCTCTTCTGCTTAAAAGCATCCGGGTTCCCATTGTTCTTGAGAACAAGTTGAGCTTGCCTCCCCTGGCTGGCGGGTCTACACTGGCTCTGCCCCAGCTTGCCTTTCTGCCTTGGTCTGCCTCCACACCCCCTCACCCAGAACTCCTGCTACCCAAGGCTTCCTTTTAGTTCCTCAAGTGTGCCATGCTACTCCCCACCTCAAGGGCTTTGCTCCTGCTTTTCTCTGCCTCTCTGGAATGACCTGTCCTTCTCTTCACCTGCCTTGCTCATCCTCTTCCTTCAGGTCTCAGCTCACACATCACTTTCCTGCGTCCTCCTACGTCCCATTACCCTCACTTATAATAGAATTTCCTGTTGAGAGTCTGTCCCCTTCACTAGATGGTAAACTCCCAGGGGACTGGGGCTGTTCCTTCAAGGAACAAATGAAGAAAGAGCATTTGTGTAAACCACCAACTATGATGAACGAATGAAACTGCACTTTTTGGGGCCACCAGTAAGTATTCTGCATGGTCTCACATTCCAAGATGTTCTCAACTTAATGAGGAAGATGATACAAATCTCATGAAAATGTACATTATTTTGAATGCCTTTATTGTAAATGTCAAATAAGGGGATGCTGGAGGAGGTTGGTGAAGAGTAATATACATGGATTACAGTCATTTATTCAGGGTTTCAAGATGCAAGATGTGTTGGTTGACACAATTTAATGGAAAAACATGCCACCCACGACCATCTCCCAGTGTTGGGCATGTATGTCTCAAGGCTCTAGCCTGCGCCCCCTTTCCTCTTCCTTTCTTCACATATTATTGCTATCACAGTTCAGTTCTCACTAGTTTCTGACTGAACTGCTGCTACAAGAACCTTCTAATTGTTCTGCCCATCCTCCACCTCTCCTGCCTCTAACCTGTTATACATACTCCTGCTGGGTTAATTTTCCTGACCATATCATTCCCTTACTCAAAAATCTTCAGTGGCTCCCTATCACACAATGTAACACTTGACTCTTCATAACCCACTTCCAAACTACTTTTGTAAAGCTTTAAGATGCATTCCAAAATTATGAAAGAAATACATGTTCACCTCAACTAGGAAAACACTCAAAGATATACAAAGAAAAACATTAGTGATCTTCCTCACCTCCTCTGCATTTCCCACCCAGTCTCCCAAGATATCCATTGTTAAGGACCTGCGGTATAACTTCTACCCCTTTCACCATTCTCCATGCTCATAATAAACTACATTCATGTATGTGGAGCTATTGTGTTACTGCCTGTTTATACAAAAAGGATTATATTAGGGGTCTCTGCAACTTGCTCATTCTTTCTTAATAATAAATGGGTCTATAGATATGGAATGAATATATTCATTTTTTAGCTACATAGTAATTTTAATTTTAATTTTTTAAAAAATATGTATATATGTATGTAAGTATTTTAGACAGGGTCTCACTTTGTTGCCCAGGCTGGAGTGCAGTGGCACAAACATGGCTCACTGCAGCCTTGACCTTCCAGACTCAAGGGATCCTCCCACCTCAGCCCCTCAAGTAACTGGGACTACAGGTACGTACCACCACTCCTGACTAGTTTTTGTATTTTTTGTAGAGACGGGGTTTTTCCATGTTGCCCCAGCTAGTCTTGAACTCCTGAGCTCAAGGGATCCACCTGCCTTAGCCTCCCAAAGTGTTGGGATTACAGGCGTGAGCCACCATGCCGGCCAGTGACATAATGTTTCATAGGATGTATATACTACACCTATTCAACCATTCCCCTATTAATGGGCACATAGATTGTTACCAGGTTTCTTTTGCTAATAAAATTTCTTATGTCTATATCCTTGCAATTAGTGATTTTACTTCTCTAGGATAGTTTACCAAAAGTGCAGCTACTTACACATCAGCCAGATTGAATTTCTTTGTTCTCCCCACGTGCCCTGTGTTTTCCTTCTGTCTCCTCTGCCTGGAAAGCCCTTGTCCTCCATGCTTGTGTGTCTAACTTCCAGTCCTGCAATGGTCAAATCTGATACCAGAATTTAGATATATTATCTGATATCCACCTCCCTCCACCTTCCTCATTTGAACACTGCAGTAATGTACCAGGCCCAGGCAGTGGTTTGCATTTGGCATAGGCCAATCATGACAATCCTGTTTTCATCTTTCCCTTGCATTCCTGTAGCTGGGTGGCCATGCAACCTATTTTGGCAAATGAGGAACAAGTAGAAGTACAGGGGTGGCAAAGCAGGAAGTGAGTGTTGAGAAGCACTCTATTTTCATGATCAAAGGGGATGATGCCTATGGTTGGACCCTTCCCTTTCCCCTCCTTCCTTGCATGAGCTTGGACATAATATCTAGAGCTGTAGTAGCCATCTTGTGACCATGAGGGAAAGTCCTAGAAAACGGAAGAAAGAGACTTAATCCTGATGTCATTGGGACACTGAGCCATCACCAACAATCCTCCTTCTCCAAAACTTTTATTTTGTTAGAAAAATCCCTATTCATTTAAGCTAGTGAAATTGGGGATTTTTATAATTGTAGCCAGACATATTCTTCACCTACTTTAGCAAGAAATACCACCCTTCATCTCAGAAAAGGAAAAAAAAATGCCATCACAGTGGTCCAAAACAGTTTTTAGAAACTTTAGAGACTTGCCTTCAAGTATAGCTTTTGAAATAGCCTCAGAAGCAGACAAACAGTCTTATGGCATGGCTTTGGTATTTTAGAATGGCCAAAAGACACCTGGAGGCAGGTGTGGTAATACCTTTAACCTTCAGTGCTACAGTTAAGTATTGCATGGTGGACATTTAGTTTCTTCCTACTCATTTGGTTGCCTAACATCTGAATCCTCTTGCTTGTTGGAAAGCAGGGCCTGCATCTGATTACTGAAGTGGAAGAGGCCACATCCTCCTTCTCTCTGCCCTCTACCAATGGATGCTCCCTACCTGGGTCTCAGACTCAAAGGGTGAGCAGAGGATTGTGGTAGTTTGGAAACTCTTCTCAGTAGCAGCAGTGAGCCCAGTGCAATGGCATTGACTAGGAGGGGCAGAGAGGACAGTCACTGCCATGTGCACTGTGATCATGGCAGCCACTCAGGCAGTGGCCTAACTCAGCTGGTATGGTAGCATAGCCAACCACATTTCCATTTCCCAGCCGCTGACAATTCCTGTCCACTTCCCAAGTCTAGGTCTCTAGTCTTCCCACCAATTCTGTGAACTTCCTGATATCCTTTTGATACATTCCTTTTCTGCGTAAGTTAATCAGAGCTAGTCCTGGTCACTCACAACCAACAACATCAACTGATTTGCCATAGCCTGGCTGTTCAGGTGGCTTCTAAACAGGTCCAATGGTGATTACTTCTTAGTTGTGTCTGTGGGTTCCTATGATGGGTACTTGTGTGGGACCCCAGCACCAAACAGCCTGGCTGAATACCACCCTGACCAGGTAACAACTTCAGCCGAAAAATTGATCAATGCAATAAAGAGAAGCAGTCATGTCAGCATTGAGTGAGAGAATCACACTTGGTTTTATTGAGTGCCTACTGTGTCCTGGACACAATTCTAGGTAGATTACAACATTACCTTACCTCTTACCAAAGCCCAGTGAGAAAATAATTTTTATCTCCACCTGGTTTGAGAATGTACAGAATTTTTCCCTTCTAGCCCTTCCCTCCCACAAGCTTGGATGACACCCAATATTTCTGATTAAAGTTTCTAAGGCATCAAAGGACACTGTCAAGATTGACCGCCTTAGGTAACAATCAACTCTGCTTTTTCTTAGCAGAGCTTAAGAGCTTAAGAAACTGGTACCTCGGGGTGCTCAAAAATATTTATGGAATGCAATAAATGGCACAGAAACATCTCCAGGGGACATTTCCTTGGGAAAGTGGTGGCCTGAAGCATTTGGGGTCTTGAGTGAGTATGGGGGGAAGCACCAGGGAAGAGGTGGGTTTTCCCTACTCACTGCACTGCACTTTCCCAAACCTTGACCTTGGCCAATATGCTTCATGTCTCTGGGCTTAATGTTTATTCTTCTTTTCTCTTCTTTTTCTGTCTCTATCCCTACTTTTTCCCTTTGTTTCCCCTTACCTTTTCCATTAATCAAGGCATTAATAAGGACAAAAATGATGTCATTTTACTTTTATTCCCTACGTAGTCTACCATATACATCAACTGCATTCAATAAATACAGGTTGGGCCAGGTGTGGTGGCTCACAGCTGTTATCCCAGCACTTTGGGAGGCTGAGGTGGGAGAATCGCTTGAGGTTAGGATCTGAGACCAGCTGAGCAACATAGTGCAACCCTATCTCTACAAAAGCTAAAAAAAATTAGCTGGGAGTGGTGGTGCACGCCTGTAGCCCCAGCTACTCAGGAGGCTGAGGTGGGAGGACAGCTTGAGCCCAGGAGATGGAGGCTGCAGTGACCTGTGACAGCGCCACTGCACTCCAGCTGGGGAGAGCAAGACCCTCAAAAAAATTAATATTTAGGTTATATAATACATTTTTAATGATTTGACTTTCTTAGTCCCCACTTTTGTAACTGAACATGCTGCCCTGCAGTGACTCCTACCGGCTCTTTGACCACATTCTCATATTCACAACGTTTTACTTGAAGAGTCAAAGGCTTTGTCATGTTCTCAGTTTCCTTGCCCTGCTGCTTCAGAAGAAAAGGAGGACCAGCCCCTTCAGCAGGGGTGGGGGTGTGCAGTGAGAAGTAGCAACAGTGTCCTGGGGAGCTGGCTGGTGTGGGGAGGGTGGGTCTTCCAGGCTGTGGGCAGGGACTGGGGGGATCTGGTGGGGATCGGCTCTGACCACTAGCATCATCTTTGACCTCTTTCCCCCTTAATCATAATTAGCACCCAGATTGTGTTGACCAATTCTCCCTTTGAAATGGGAGCTCCACAAGCATTTATGGAAGGAACAAATGAGTTACTTCCTGCAGAACCCAAGTGTGAAAGGAGTTAGTAAACATGCTAGAATGAGGCTGGCAGTCACGGAACCAAATGTAGATTAACCCAAAATGTCACAAAGGTAAAAAGTAGGGGAATAAGGGTTTTTTTTAGGAAGGATGGCATTCCATCTTCCCCGAAATGCTTCTGCCTCAACCTCAGTTCTCCTCAGCACCCATCTGAAATCCTCCTACGGTAGCCTCCCATAGTCCTACCTTCCCAAACACTGCTTTGATTGGATCCCACATTGCTCCAAACCCTCACGGACAATTCATTTTCTGCAAAAAAGCAAACCCTCACGGACAATTCATTTTCTGCCAAAAAGCATTTCATGTGCCTCAACTTCTCTCCTTCAATCTTTTTTTTTTTTTCCCTCACGGACAATTCATTTTCTGCAAAAAAGCAAACCCTCACGGACAATTCATTTTCTGCCAAAAAGCATTTCATGTGCCTCAACTTCTCTCCTTCAATCTTTTTTTTTTTTTTTTTTTTTTGAGACGGAGTGTCACCTACTCTGTTGCCCAGACTGGAGTGCGGTGGCACGATCTCGGCTCTCTGCAACCTCTGCCTCCCAGGTTCAAGCGATTCTCCTGCCTCAGCCTCCTGAGTAGCTGGGATTACAGGCGCCCACCACCACACCTGGTTAATTTTTGTATTTTTGGTAGAGATGGGGTTTCACCATGTTGCCCAGGCTGGTCTTGAACTACTGGCCTTTAAGTGATCCACCACCTCGGCCTCCCAAAGTGCTGGGATTTCAGGCGTAAGCCACCATGCCTGGCCGCTCTCCTTCAGTCTTACTGTCAAGGCTTGCTTTCCACTGTCCCTGAGGACCAGCCATCCAGCCAGCCTGGAATCTTCCTCCTGCACCAACACACCCTTCTCTGTCCCGTCTGTACTCATGAGGCTCCCTCCTGTACCATCCAGCTTAGGACACAGCACCGCCCTGCCCCTCCTTCCATCTGAGTAGAGCATGGTGCTTCAGCATGTGGTGGTCTCTGGGGCACGACTGCTTGGGTCCAAGGAACAGCAGTACCACGCTTGCTAGATGTGTGACCCGGGGCAAGCTTCTTCACTTCTCTGAAGTTTCAGTTTCCTCTTCTGCCAAATGGATGTAATAATGATCTCTACTTCATATGGTCGATGGGTACATTAAATGAGACAATGCATGTGCCTGGCACAGAAAGAGTGCTCAGAGTGGTCATTATTATTATCCCCTGTGTTCTTTCTTACCTCTGAACCCCTGGAGTGCTTGCTGTCTGTGCCACTCATCTGGCACTTAA